ATGGTAAGACTTATTTTTCAGATATTAGATTTGGCAAGTCTAGAAGATGAATAAAATCTTCAGTGCAGCTTCTTCTGTAAAAAAGCAAGAGGTAGGCAATCAGATAATTTTGTCCTATCATTTCTAATTATTATGGATCCTGTTCTATTTATTGTGTTATTACATTGTCTAGCAAAAAAGGCAGAATGCTATCAGAGATGACAGACTTCCTTTCCTGTTCCCTCACCTAATGAGAATGCCTTTGGCATTTCATGGATGAATACCATGTTTGCTGTTAGATTCAGATGATACCTTTCTTCAAATTAGTCAGTTTTGAAAAACCATCCTGTACCTGCCCACCTGTCTAGACACTCTTCCGGTTGTCTCCCCCGCACACTGGCTGCATGGCAGACAAAAGAAACTCAGGCTCTTTTGTGCACCATGTCTTTGTATTTCCTCCTCTTTATTCCAGGAACATCCTCCCCAACTTTCAAATATCTCTCAGCTTAAAGAGAACTAGATAAAATTGTAGTTTCTTTTAGTCGGAGAACAAAAGGAAGAAGGTTCCTGCTTCTCTTCCCATTTGGAAGAATATCAGAGAAAATGTCTCCATTATCCTTCTCCTTCCTTTTAATTGCTCTCTCCCAGTTGAGAGGTGACCCCTCTGCTTGTACCACTCCCATCATTGGGTAGGGTAACTGTTCTTAAAGGCAAGGCCCCAGAGTTCCACCTTCTTTCACTTCCTGTGCTCAGGGCGCTCCGGTGCATTTGGCCCACCCTGTGGCAGGGCACCCCATTGCGGGAGAGAGATGGGGAACTATTATTCTTTTTATTCCAGTTTCTCCACTGTGGACTGGATGGGTGGGTCCGATGACCCTCGTTGTGGGAGTTCTAATATTCAGTTCAGTGAAGAGGCAGGAGGACTAAGTCTCCCTTAGGCCTGGGGTTTAAGCCATTTTCAAATCCATTTCTTACCAAAGCTTTGCATTATGATATCGAGTTCCTTGGACATACATTCTATTGGTATGAATCCTAGTGGGTGGGGGGACTCCCTAGACCCTTAACCCTGGCACTATGAGCTCTCATCAGACATTTTCTAGATAAATGAACGAACTGACACATGCATCCCAGGCTTTCTCCTCTGTAATAACAGCTGTTGTTCACCGGGCACCTTCCATGGGCCAAGCACTGCTGTCTCATTGCATCCTCCCAACAACCCTATCAAATAAGTCTTACCATGTTCATTTTATAATAAAAGAAGTCCTGTGTATCACCACCATGTTAACTATGCTAGAGCAAATCTCTGCTTGAAAAAAGGAGCAGCTCCCCATTCCTCAGGATCTCAGCCCAGCCTTGGTGGCCTTCCTCTGGCTCACTCACTGCCAGCTCGGAACCTGATGTGCCTCTGTGTCATCGGGGCCATGGCTCTCTGAAGACACTAAGGAACGATCCTTTCTTGCCTCTTGCAACTTCTGGTGGCCAGGATGTTCTCTGGCTCGTGGCAGTGTCTCTCCAATCTCTGACTCCACTTCCCCTTGGCCCTCTTTGGGTGTCTGTGTTCTTTTCTTTGAAGATGACAGTCATCAGATTTAGGGTCTATGCTAAGTTGAGGATGATTTCATCTTGAGGTCCTTAACTAATTACATCTATAAAGACCCTCTTTTCAAATAAGGTCGCATTCTTAGGTTCTGGGTGGACATGGAATTTGGGGAGATACTATTCATCTCACTACAATCAGCATACGAGTTATAAACTGTATAGCTACGGTAATTTAAGGGAGTAAAACGGACTATTCTCCCTTGTTCAAGCTGTTATTATCTGGCGCCTCTGAAACCATATTCTAACTACTAGAATCAATCTGGGAGTACATGTCTGGAGGAGGCTGCTGAGGATGGCCTGGGGTGACTGTCTGGCCCACTCAGCAGGGGCCAGACATGGCAGGACTCTTCTCCAGTGACCATATTATTGGATTACAAATGGACACTTGACCCAGACTAAACCAATAATACTCTTTTCAGGGGATTGAGATTTTAGGGAATCAGACTAAAAGCCAATACCTGAACTTCTCTCCTGAATTGAGAAAAAATTAATTTATGGGTTGTGGGATCGTGACCTTCTATTTATCATCAGGAGAGAGAAGCAGAGAAAACCAGTTTCTGTCTGGGGAAAATAAAATATAGGCAGAGGTAGAGTCTAACAGTCTGGATGGATCTCACTCTTGATTCCAGGCCAACAGGAGGCCGAGCCACACTTATGCCCTCAGGTTCAAGACAGTGTTAGCAATAGGTACTGAGTGCTCACCCTGGGCCGGACCATGTGCTTGACCTGCATTGTATTGGTCACCGTATTTCACCCTAGATGGATGCAGTGGCACATACCTATAACCCCAGCAGATGCAGGAAGATAGCAAGTTTGAGGCCAGCCTGGGCAACTTAGCAATACCTTGCCACAGACTGAAAAGCATCTGGGCCAACTCTTCACGATGGGGAAGACCAACATATTTTTCTCTCTCCTTACTCAGTGCCATATAAAATTTCCCTACATTGCTTCTTACTTTTAAAAAAAAATGTGGCAAAATATACATAATATAAAATTTACCATGTTAACCCTTTTTAAGTGTCCGGTTCAGTGGTCTTTACGTTGTTGTGCAACCATGACACCGTTCATCTCTGGAATTTTTCATCATCTCAAATGGAAACTGTGTTCATTAAATGCTAACTATCCATCCTCCCTGACTTCATATAGGTGGAATTATATATAATGTCTGTCCTTTTGTGACTGACTTATCTCACCTAGTACAATGTCTTCAGGGAGGTACCATCAGTATTGTATGTTGCAGTCCATTGGCTAGATCTAGTCCCATCGTGGCCTCAAATGAATTATAAGGAGACTAGGAAAGGTAAGGGAGGTGATTCATGGTACACATTTGTGCCACACGATAAATTATCTTTTTGCTGAAGTTAGGTTGACTTGGCTACAGTTTCTTACAAACAAAGAATTAGAATCATACCCATTCTACACAAACAACTCAACATCTAGTGACTGGAGGGAGCTCATCACTAGGGGTTCTTTATTACTAATTGGCAATATTCCTTTTTTTGTGTGTGTGTATGATGCTCAGGTTTGAACCCATGGCCCAGCACATGCTAGGCAAGTGCTCTACCACCAAGCTACTCCCCCTGCCGCTCTAACTAGTAATATTCTTGGTGCTGCTTTTCAGAATTAAAATTATAGAATGTTGGCATTAAAAGAACTCTAAATCCAGAATTGACTCAATCTTCTAACTTGACTTTCTGTAGACAACCTATTTTGGGGGGTCAATATTATTAGAAAAAGTGTATTAAGTATTTAGGATGCATGGAGAACTGTGAGAAGCCAGGCATGGAGGCACATGCCTGTAATACCAGGAAAATGGGAGGCTGGGGCAGGAGGATTGAAGTTCAAGGCCAGCCTGAGCAATTTAGTGAGACCCGGTCTCAAAATAACATTAAAAGGTCTGGGACTGTACTCAGTGGTCAAGCACTTGCCTAGTGTATGTGGGGCCCTGGGTTCCATCCCCTGTACCACAGAAAAATATTTAAAAAGAAAACTAAAATAAAAGAAGTGTGGGTGGGGGCTGCTGGGGCACAGAATTTGACAAAAATTTAATCCCATTCTATTGGTAGAAAACCTCATCTTTCTTGTGTTGATAAACATGACTTGTTCACCCATGGCCTCGATGTTCTATTATTAGATTGTGATCATGAGGGAAATCTATGAGTATATCATGAGTGTATTTTTGACTTGTATAATTTCACTTCCTTTTGCTTTCGCAATACTTTCACTATTGGTAATACTGTACAGAAATTTCCCCTTTTCTTCACTTCTTTATATTTCTCTTTTCCATACAGTTAAATAATAAAGGTGCCACATTTCATAAGCGTGTATGAAACTGTCTGCCACCTACTCAGAAAACTGACTCCTCAAAGATTTTATGCACCCCAATAGCTTCTAGGTCTATCCTTGATGACCCAGCGGCTGCATTTGACATGACTGTGCAGCACAAGAGATGAGCCAGCAGGGCCGGGCTGGGAAAGTTTCCTCTCTGGATGTGACATTAGGTACAAAAAAAAAAAAAAAAAAAAAGATGGAATTGAAGCTGTGACAAAGTATTTATGAGTAGGGTTCTGCCGCTGGGTCCTCCCACAAACAAACTGCATTCAGCAAATTCCTTAAATTCTCTAAGTCTTAGCCCTTTATCTACAAAATGATGCTGCTAAAAGAACTGAAAGTCCCTTTTCACCTTAAATGTCTACGCTTTTCTGATTCTAGAGAGAACCATAAGGAAGAGACAGGCAAGCAGCTGGGACAACTAGGAAGCTGGAGAAAGAAAATGGGGGACAAGGAAAATTCCAAGGACAAAGAAGGCAATAAAAATAATTCGGAACAGCAGGTGAGGGAGCCAAGCAAAACAGGTCAAAAGAGAAAATGACAGCAAGCCTGCAGCGTGCTGGGGTCTGCAGTGACCCTGCTGCATTCCTACACTGCTTGCCAGGACACTTTTGAAATGGTTTGAGGCCTTGCCCTGCCCTCTCCAGAGCAAGGTGATAGAAATTCCAGACAATTAACTGTGCCTTTCCAGGTGTGGCAGTTGCTGAATACCCTGGGCCTGCTGTTGGGAAAGTCTTCCCAGGTCTCATGTTTCTGGAGTTGGGGAGTCTTTATGTTTTCTGCTGGCGTCATAAAACTGCCAGGCTACCTTGCTAGCTGCAAGGAGGAACACCTCAGACTTTCCAGTTCCTGACAACTACCACTCCCTGGGTCCCTGGCCCAGCATGGAGCAGAAGGCTTACTGCTGTTCCGTGGCTGTGATCCCAGGATGCCAGAGCTGAAGTCCCTTCTGTGGCCCCTAGGCTGGTCTGTGACACCTGTGTAGTATGACATGGATACTCAGAAGTAAGGCCTGACCTGACCAGGTTGACACCTATGAGAAGTGAAGCAGAATTTGAACCTCAATTGAGCAGATTTGAAGCCTCACTTACTTCTAAAAGGAATCAGCAGTAAATTGTTCTTGGCCTGGGCTGTGTGTCGGAGAGAACTTTCAGGCTCCAGGTTTGGGCTCCACTTTTTTCTGCCTCCAGAATAAGCGAGGCTGAAGGGCCTCAGGCTCTTCTGGCATCTCCCAAACGAAAAACGAGATATTCAATAAACACAGTTTTAAATGTGTGATGAGAGAGAGAGAGGGGGGGGGAGGGAGAGGGAGAGAGAATATGAAAGATTACATGTTTATCTTAGCGTTGAAAAAATAAATCATATAAAATTTCATTTTTAAGGCAGAAGAGACAGAAGAAATCTGGTTATTTGTTTTTCTCTTACATGAAGATGCAATCTTCAGGCCATAGGACTTGCCTCTCGAGGGTCTGGAGATCCTAAAGGAAACAAAGAGAGCTGCTATCTGCTGTGACGTTGGGTGATCAGTTTTCTAAAGCTAGCACATAGTTGTGATTGAGGGAATAAAATGGTTTTTGAGGGGAAGCTGGAAAAACAAGGCTGTTGAGGGAAAAGACGGCATCTGGGGTAGCGTGGGACCGAGTTCAGTTTGGTTGTTTATTTCCAGATGCAGAAAGAAGGCTCACATTTCATGGTTTCATCCGACAACAAAACAATGGACGGTACAGATCAGGACAATAATGCTTAGCTGGTGGCCACCTGACCTCCGTGACAATGGGTCCCTGTTGTAGAATATTGTATGAGTGGCTTATTTTAACTCTGTCCATTGGTCAGAAATTTGCTGAGGTGCTGGAGGCAACACTGCACAAACAGAAAGAGCAGCTCCAATAGACCGTGGCAGGTACAGAGAGAAGGCAGGAAGCATCTGTCCCCCGCCTCCCCTCCCCATCCTTCCACACCAGCAGTCTTGCTCTTGGGACCAGAATTAGGGTGCCTCCATCTATAGCTTACCCTGACCCTCTTAGGGCCCATGAGAACATTCCTTCGATGCTCTGCCTCTCATTCCCCACAGCCCTAACAGAAAACAGTCATGTACATCGTATTAATCAGACTGATGGTGCCTACCACACAGAAATAGAGGCTCAAAAATGTGATTATATGGTGTCCCTCTCTGGAGGGGAAGAACTCCTAGAGGGCTTCTCTGAAAAAAGATTCTTGACTATTTCATCACCAAACACCATGCTGTCTTCCTTTTTGTCTGAAAGTTATGGCCTTTGGTAGTTTTAAGTGTATTTAACTCGAGGTAGCAATATCCTGCTTGTAAACTCACTGTGATGGATGGCATTGAGTCCCTATAAACCATATGTTCAAATCCCAACCCCGATACCTGTGAATTTGATCTTATTTGGAAATAGGTCCTTTTTAATCCCCCAAGGGAAGATGAGATCATGCTGGAGCACTAATCCAATGACCAGTGTCTTTACAAGAAGAGAGAGATTTCAGCTGGGCGCGGTGGCACACACCTCTAATCCCTGCTACTCAGGAGGCGGAGGCAGGAGGATTGCAAGTTCAAGGCCAGATTTGGCAATTTAGTGAGGCCCTGTCTCCACACAAAAAAGATGGGGGATGTCACCCTGGATTTCATTTCCAATCCCGTCTCCCCTCCCCACACACACAAAAAGAGAAGTCACGGACCCACATGACAAGGGGATAGTGTCACCAAGGGACACTAAGGACTGCAGCAACCACTGCCTACACCTTGACTGTGGACTTACAGCTTCCAGACCCATAAGAGAACACCTTTCCGTTGTTTTCAGCCTCCCAATTTATGCTAATTTGTTACAGCAGTCTTATAGGGAAATTATTATAGGAAACTAATACACTAACCAAAGGACTATACTTCTTTGTCCTGGCTTATTTTAATTGGTAGAATAGAATCATGACTCTCAATAGTTTTGAGATATCTGAAGAAAATTTTTATATGATCATGAATATATTCTATTTTTAAAAGTTTTTGTTTTGTTTTGTTTTTGTTTGGGGTACCAGGGATTGAACCCAGGAGCGCTTAATCACTAAGCCACGTTTCCAGCCCTTTATTTTTTTGAGACAGGGTCTCACTGAGTTGCCAAGGCTGGCTTTGAACTTGAGATCCTCCTGCCTCAGCCTCCAGAGCCGCTGGAACTATTGGCGTGTGACACTGCATCTGGCTAATATATTCTATTTTTACCTTAAAAGAATATATACTTGTGTTGCAGCAGCCACGTGTGGATTGAGATAGTAAGATCCTAGGAAAGGGAGAGAGTCGTTGCCCCTGTGGCAGGGAAAAGACCACCATGTGGACCTTGGGCTTCACCCTCTGTTACACTGCCTCTATGGAGGCTGCCTCCTCGCTTTTCTTGTTTGACTGACTTCCCTTTCTTCAGAATTTTATTTTTTCTTGGTACTAGGAATTGAACTCAGGGGCACTGAGCCACATCCCCAGCCCTGTTTTGTATTTTATTTAGAGCCAGGGTCTCACTGAGTTGCTTAGCACCTTCAGGTTGCTGAGGCTGGCTTTGAACTTGCAATCCTCCTATCTCAGCCTCCAGAGCTGCTGGGATTATAGGCGTGCACCACCACGCCCAGAGCCTTCTTCAGAATTTATTTGCACAATTTCCTCAAGATGTCTTCTTGGTACCGACAGTAATTCTTATTCTGATGCCATCGATGATATCTCAAAAAGGTGTTATTTTCTGTTCTGTCAGAGTGTCAGGTGTTTATCTCTAACCATTTGTGGACTTGTGGCAGCTTGTTAAGCCATTTACTTGTTTTTGTTTGTTTATGTTTTTGGTATAGGAGATCGAACCCAGGAGCACTTAACCATTGACCCACATCCCCAGCCCTTTTTAATTTTTTAATACCTTTCTATATTTATTTTTATGTGGTGCTGAGGATCGAACCCAGTGCCTCACACATGCTAGGTGAGTGCTCTACCACTGAGCCACACCACCATCCCCCCTTTTTAAGTTTTATTCGGAGACAGGGTCTTATTGTGTTGCTTAGGGTCTCACTAAGTTGCTGAGGCTGACCTCAAACCTGCAATCCTTCTGCCTCAGCCTCCAGAGTCACTGAGAATAAAGGCGTGTGATGATGAGTGTAAGGAGAATGCACAGAAGCACTGTGACTTCTGTGACACTGTGGTATTTTTGGCAATGTGTGAAATTGGTGTAAACCCTTGACCTTATGTTTCCCAACATCTCCCACTATCTCAATGAGTCAGACAAAACCTTGAGCTGACACTGAGCATATGGCCTGAAACAGACCCATCACTTGATGGTCACACCATCTCTGTCTTCTACTTTAGGACTTTAAAAAGGTTGTATTTTGCCTGTTGAGAGAGAAATCTGCTGGGTTTTTTTTTTAAGAGAGAATTTTAATATTTATTTTTTAGTTTTTTGCGGACACAATCTTTGTTTCTACGTGGTGCTGAGGATCGAACCCAGGCCGCACGCATGCCAGGCGAGCGCGCTACTGCTTGAGCCACATGCCCAGCCCGAATCTGCTGTTTTGATGGCAGGAAAATGTAGCATGCTTACTTTCTGGCTTTGGGGTCAGCCCTTTTCTGGAGCATCAGGGACATTTCTTGTTCCTTATGCTCAAAGAAAAACATGAAAGATTTTCTTTAAGTGTACACACTTTGGGCTCTCATTCTGACTCTAGGCTTTGTGTTTCTCCTCATTGCACTTTTTTGTTTGTTTTCCCTGAAGGGAAATCCAGGAACCAGGAGAGGGGTGAGCGAGAAATGAAAGACGGAGACCAGGCAGAGATACACACACGAGTTTGTGTGTGGAGCTGACAAATAAAGGCCATCTCTCTACAGCGGAGAGGCGAACCAGGCTTGGGTTCTGGGACTTTCTGGGGCAGACTCAGGGCCCAGCTCAGAGATGGGTGGGTCCTAATGCAGGCAGTTAGGGGTTGAGTTGGTATGAGGGAGAGGTGAGCCTTTCTCAGAAAGGCCCTTGGGTGGGAAAGTGAAACTTTTTCCATAAAATGGCAGCTGCCACTTAAAATGGCCGTCCAGATGCTAAGCAAGGACTTGATATTCCCCCCTATTTTTGTTTTTTATTGGGCCCCTTCGGGAACAGGGATGTAGCTCAATATTCTGTAACTGCTTCCTGCTGGGAAGGGGCAGCTTTTGAATCCCTCATTAGGGCTGTAGGATGTCAGTAGAATGATGACAGAGGTTGAGTGGACGTGGAATGCTGTCTCCACCACCCAATTTGGTGAGGGATTGGTATTTCTGTAACAAAAACTGGTTTAAGTTTGATTAAAGATTTTTTGGATCTGGTCTTGAACCAATCTAATGACACAGGGGGCAAACATTCAGGAAAGGAAGTGCCCAGTGGTAAAGGGGGTTACTTAGCTGCCATCCTTCAGCAGAGGAGAGCTATTGTTTCTGACGTCCAAGGTCCAGATGGAGTTGTTTTATCTTGTCCTTTACTGTAGCAGATGGATGGACATAAAGATAGCAGTCCTCCTGTAGGTACAGACAAAGTCTGCCTTTTGGGGCCTTAAAAAGATCAAGGCCCCTTGGATTCTGCTAAAGAATCAAGCTGGGGTTGTATGGTTCGTGTGGTTTGAGCAAGTTGCTGTCAGTCTCCTAGAAATTGGAATGGTAATTCCTGGTAGTGGTCCCCCTGAGAGGTGAGTGCAGAATGAGGGAGGAGGGCAAAAATGAAAAAGGGAAGGATGGTACTCAGGGTTCTGCAGTGTCCTCGTGGTCCCCAGAGACCAAAGGAAGATTGGGGGTTCCAGCCTTGGAGAAACACGGCTTGAGAGGGCCTGTGGGAGTCACTTTATAAAAGGGTGAAAACCCCATTTTAAACGGGAGTTATGAACCCAATATGGGATGCCCTGAAGATGGGCCACCAAGAGAGTGGTAAGAATGACCCGATAGGGTCCATTTTGTGGAGAGTTGAGAGGAGGAGGGAAACTTGTTGATGGGGGTAGTTAAAAGGTACAGGTCGTCAGGAGACAGAGTGGGAGAAGGGGAAGAGGAGGAACTAGGCTTTGCCAGAAGAGCATCACTGTATCGCCAAAGAAGGTTCCTAATGTATGCAAAAAGGGGCCAGAAAAGATGAGGAGCAAGGGGTGGTGGAGAATCAGAGGGAGGTGAGCTGAGCAGAGAGATGGGCCGTCCATATAGAAGCTCAAAGCAGGAGATGTTGAGTGGCTTCTTTGGGAGGGCCCGGGACCTAAGAAGAGCCAAGGGAGGGAGTTTAGTCCAATCTAAGTGTAATTCAAAGGATAGTTTAGTGAGAATGTTCTTCAAGGTTCAGTTGGTACATTCCACCTTGCCAGAGGACTTTGGATGGTAATGGATATGAAAATGCCAGGAGATGCTGAGTGCCTTAGCTACAGACCATGAAACATGGGCAGTAAATTCAGGACCCTTATCAGACTGGAGTGAGGAGGGGAGATGGGAAAGAATGTGTTCAACGAGGACACTGGCCACTGTGGGGGCACGTGTACTGGTGGTAGGAAAAGCCTCCGCGCATCCTGAGAAGGTGTTGACAAGTACCAAGAGAAGTTTGTACTGCTTGACTGGGAGGCGTACGGGTGAAATCCAGCTGCCAGTCAGAGCAAGGAAGATGTCCCCTTGCCTGGTGTCAAGGAAAGCAGGTGGGTGGAGACTGGAGGTGGGATTAGTGTTTTGGCAGATTTCACAGGAGACAGAGAGGATAGAGAGAATTTGTAGGTTCCCTGGAGAGAGTTTAAGGTGGGAAGTGAGAAATTGTTTTTAGATGTGGTGTTAGGTGAAAGAGGTTGTGAAGGAAGGTGAGCATCTGTTGAGTGTCAGTGGGGAAGAGTCCACAGGGGAGTAGCAAGGCCGAGGACTGCAGGTGGAGGAGACTGTGGGCGGGTGGTGGCCCTCACCTCAGTCTGCCTTGTTGTTGCTGAGTGTCACACAGGAGGTGTCTCTCTGATGGGATTTACAATGTGAGATTCCCATGACAGAGGGAAGCTTTGAGGCCTGAAGGAGATCAGAGATAAAGGGGACATTAGTAACTTACCTTGCTGGTAAGGAATCCAGGCTCTGTCCAAATAGCAGAGTCCAAAAATGTGGAAAGCGTATTTAGAGTCAGTGTGCACATTGAGGGAGGCTCTCTTTGCCAAAGTGAAGGCTCTGATGAGGAAAACCAGTTCAGCCTGCTGATTGGATGTATTACTGGGGAGGGGAGACGCTTCCACAACCAAGGTTAGAGACTGTAGCATACCCTTCCCAAAGGACTCTCTCCTGAAGGAAGGAGGAGCCATTGGTGAACCATGTGTGTGTTGCCTGGAGCAAGTGGCCTTCCTGTATGTGGGAGGGATGTGGAAGAAGCTCCTCCAGAGTTTCAATGCATGAATGGGTTAGAGGAGAAGAATCCTAAGGAGCAGGAAAGAGAGTAGCTCACTTTAAAAGTGAGTAATGTGGACAGTAAGACTGGGATCTTCCACCAGGAAAACCTGTAGAGATAAAGGCGACAAGGGGGTAAGGAACGTAAGCCCTTTGAAGTGAGGAGTTCCTTTAGATGATGGGGATTCAGGATGGTGAATGGGGCCCCAAAGGTGAGTTTCTTTGACTCGTTAATGAGTAGAGAGGTTGCGGCCAATGTTCATAGGCAAGGGGCCCTCCCCAAACAGTAGGATCAAGACCCTTCGATAGATAAGCCACAGGGGCAGAGGTTGGCCCCAGCATGTGTCTGAGGACCCCTAGAGCAAATCCCTGCTTTTCAGCCACATAAAGGTGAAATGGGTGTGTGAGATCAGGGAGATGGAGAGCAGGACCTGGAGAAGGGCTTTATAACAGAGGCAACAGGGGTTCAGAGAGTGGGCCCCGAGCCGCATCATATAGAGGCTTAGCCAACATTGAATAATCAGGAACCCAAGCTCTGGGGAATCCTGCCATACCTAGAAAGGAGAGAATTTCTTCCTTAGTTGAGGG